ATATATATATATATTCGACATGAGAATCACAGCTCACGCATACAAATTCGTTACAATTACAATAGTGCACATCAGAAGTTTGGTGTACTCAAAGATGTTTGGTATTCATCATCATCATCATCCAGTGCCAGACCTGCGACAGACATCGGCGATCATGGTTCTCCATTCATTCCTTTGCTCGGATGCTAAGTTTCCCTGATCTTTCCCTGTCACCCACTTGTCCAGGTTCCCCAAGTAGGTTGTTCTGGGCCTACCCCTGCCTCATTTGCCTTCACTTTTGCCAGTGAGAGCTAGATACATGTATATGCTCAAGACCATTATGTCTATTCAGGTGTCCCAAAAACTGCAGTTGTCGTTTCCTGATACTGATTTTTTTTTAACAGTAAGCGTCCACGTGGGCTTCATCAAGCACTACCGGTACCTCATTTGTTTTATTTTCCTTCCATGATACTCTTAGCAGTCTCCGAAGAAACCACATTTCTGTTGCTTCTAATTTATTTTCACTGTCTTTAGTGATTGTCCAGCATTCACAGTCATATATATAGAAGGGTTGACCATACATAGTATTTCAGAACTTTCATTTTGGTAGTCATTGAGATGTTTCTTTTTTTTTTTTTTACTGCTGAAATGGGATGGGTTTAACACCCCTATCAACACTATGAGGTTATCTAAGAGGCTGTCTATTTTTCAGGATTGGGCTCATTTTATTGAAACTAACCTTAGCCATTGTGTAATTCTCCGTTATATTTCTGAGGAACATTTGGCATCAAATGTTATATATCCTAGCTATTATAACTGTTGGACTTGTTGGATCTTTTCACCTTTGCTAATGAGATTACAACGAGAATTTGCACCTTTTTTAATATTAGAATCTATATTACCATGCATTATGTTTTCTTTACACTCAACACTAATCCTTTACGTTCACTTTCTGTTACAACAGTAGAAGCAACTGAAGGTCCTTTTCTGAGCCTACTATTAAAGCGATGTAATCCGCATATCTGATGTTATTAAGAGTTTCTCCATTTACTTTGAAACCTGGGCATGTTTCTATGTTTCTAAGGATTGTTTCACTGTACATGTTAAAGAGGTAACAAATGACATAATAAATCCTTGCCTCACTCCTCTCCTTATCTGCTAATGTTCACTGTATTCTCCATTAATTCGTTTTGTATCGGGACAATATACTTTGGTGATGGGTTTTCGTTTTTTTTAAATTACATTCTTAAATGAATAGGCTTATTCAGTTGAACTTGTCGAAATCAATATTGTTTCACCATTCAGAAAAGATTGATTCAAGTTTATGATGGTTCTCCTTCATTTTCCACTGTATTATTTCTTGATATTGTTTTAAATATTGCTCATTTGAATTTCAAAATTATGTTTCAGTATATAAACGTCGCGTTAATTGTTGAAATATTAATCAAGCTACTCAACAAACGTAGAGACGTTTACATAGTTGTTTTATGTCAAAACTGCTGTTTTATGATAGTTGTTTCGAGAGTACATAATTATTTTACGTTTTTCTTTACCATTATTGAGAGGGCGTTCTCTGGCCTTAACCCTACCCTTGAACTTTACCGTACCATTTATTCTGATTAGCCTACGTCTGATGAACTCGATAAACAAAATCACTCTTTTTATCAGCAAATCGGATTCCAATATCATATGTGGTGATCTACAAACAATAACTATACACCTTTTATTAATTCATGACTAGTGACGTCGTTTTATTAATATCAAAATCAACAACATCTGGTGATTGACTAGTAGAACCGAACAGTGACCTGATCCACGGATACCACAAGACCCTAGAGATATTTAATTTGTTTAGGCCCGTTAGTTAGTATCATTCCAACTGTATATCCAGAGCGGAACGACTCTACACACCCAGTTACAGTAATTTGACCACTCACACCTCTAGGTACGGTAAAAAGATAATTTAGACTAGAAATGTACGTATTGTAAATGATTGGAATGTCATTGGTTTTGGGTTTTTATTACCTGGGTTCTTATGTCATCACTGAGACTTTCTACAATGCACATGATAATTACGTACATGTAATCTTTGTTACACCATTCATTGATTGTTACATTATGTTATGAATGTAAAAACCATTTGATTCATTGACTTATTTGTTGACATTCTTTTACCCGTATCTTCCTTTAATAAAATATTTCACCTATTTTTTCTTCTATACTACACAGCCTTAAATCAAACTTGTTGTGTTCAGTGTCGGTTAGACGTGACGTGACAATCAGGCCTCAGCCTCAGCCCTATACAAATTATAAATGCCGACGAGTGATTCATTGGTACCGAACTGATCAATCGGTGCACGCCAACCGGTCGGAGACACCAGCCAATCAAACTTCACAGAGTTTTTGCACTGACTAAGGTGACCCCAAAAAGTCTCGTCCATATTTGTGACGTCCAGTATACAGCCTTTTTCTCAGAGATTGAGGCTGGTACACAAAGACTGATATTTCCATCTTACAGACTTTTAGTCAGGCTGTGCATAAACCAATTTATGTACATTAAAAACCAAAATCAGCCATGCTGTATAAAAAAATAGGCCAAAAAAAGTCATCAGAAAGTGACGTCTGATACGCTGGAACAACCCATGGGGCAAAGCAGCATATTTCACGTTACTTCTTATAATACCAGATTATTATCTCAGGATATCTCATGTTATTTGTTAAACAATAACTACCCTCAACCAGCCAATTCAAGCGCCCAAAGAGAACTGTGAGACAAGATGTTGGTCATTTCAAAGATAAACCACTTAGGGCTCTCTTCATCAAGGGACAGGACGGGGGGAGAAAAAAACGATTTCAAGAAGGATGGCAAAATAGTTGAGTGAGTTTGGGTGTGTGTGTGTGTGTGTGTGTGTGTGTGTTTTTGCGTGGGTGCGTGTGTGTGCACATATGAGTATGTGTGTCAGAGAGAGATAGAGAGAGAGAGAGGGCGATAGAGAAAGAGAGAGTCAGAGAGACTGACAGACAAACAGACACACAGACAGACAGAGAGCTTTCCATATTATACTCTGAATAAACTACAGAAATCAGGACGATAGTTAGATCTGTCGAAGTATTGCAAAGGAATCAATGTCTCTATGATAAGGTGCCAATCCTGCGCCAGCTCTTCCTATCAGAATGTGACGTGAGGAAATCCCACCTCATGACTGCTGGTCGGGCGGTTTATCTCCTCAATCGAGGCGAGGACAATTGCGTGACGCCATGGTGAAATCACGCGTTCGTCAGTTTTTGGGCATAATGAATCATTGGTATAATCACAAGGCCTATTCCTATATATTTGCTTTGCTTTTGGTGAACCCCCCCCCCCCAACCTATCTTGAATAGAAGTCGAGATATTTGCGATTGTAAGAAGTGGGAGTTGCCTGCTGTCAGAAGTTTACAATAATAAGCAAGGAAATGGACGACACGGTTTCCAAAACTTCCAAAGCTTGGGTGTCCTTGGAAACTACTGCAAATTTACATTTGTTGTGCC